AAAAAAAGCACAAATATTTCCCCCTGAATAAAAGKACGAGTGAAACAGCGCCCCCCTCTGTTGGCAAAACAAAACTGACACCAAATGAGGAAAACAAGCTTTTTACACGGACGTTTTTGATGTGGTCGAGGGTCTTTCTTCTCTTGGGTTATTCTAATCATGACGTGTGGCTAAATAAAATTAGCGGAATCACTAACTGGAAATGTGTGCTTACTAATAAATAACGTGAGAAATTCAACAGCACATTGCTCAGAAGTGGGCGTGCCCCCAGCGGAGCAGAAAAGTGCGTAGTTCAGTTTTTCTGTCTTTTCTAATCGTCTTAGAGAAGATTTGCTGCAGGCTTTGCGCCAGAATCGAACCCGAAATGAGCGCAAATCGGGAACAAACTCGGAAAAATTGGAACCGTGCATTAAAATAAGAATAAAAATAGATCCTGGCTAACGAAGCGTTTTAGCCGCAGCTTCACGGCGCCCATTTAAACGCAGAAGACTTTAAAAACGTGCGCACCGAGCCCCTCCGCGACGCCGCGCACGTCCTCATTCATAAATCAAGTGTCGCAGTTATTAAATACCTTTAAATCCACGTCGCGTTCGTTGCGACTGAATTAGCCCGCAATGCGATCACGTCCTCCCTCTCTCTCTCTCTCTCTCTTTTTTCTCCACCAACCCAGAACAATTTAACGCTGTCTCTGCTGTGGATTTGACGCAGAGATCGTCTCCACGCGAGGAGATGTCAGAGAAAGCCCCACGTTATCCACGGGCATGGTGCTCGCTTCTTGTTGTGGTATAGCTCGCGCTTTACCGAATAGCTGCGCACTTTACTTGGCTGGGACGAACCAGCCCCGAGCAGGAGGGTGACGTCTTTATGATGCAGCCTTTCCGAGCAGAGAGGCGAGCGAGGATTTATGCGTAACCGTGCGTCCTGGGAATGAAAACGCAGCGTGGAGCAGCCACAGGACAGCCATTAGCCGCTCACACAGGAACATGCGCCTCTTTAGGCCTACGGGCTGGCATTTCTACGGATAAGCTTTAAAAAAATAAATAAAATAAAAACACTACACATCCAAGCAGCCAATTGCAAAATATGTCTAACACAGAAATAAAGATGCTTCAAGAAAAAAAATGCTTATAAAAATTAAAAACGTACATTTGCTCAGACTGATAGTCAATTTGATTAAAAGTTACCAAGTAGCCTATAAAAAGATCAAATAATAAATGTAAAGCAGCTTACAGTTTCCTAACATTCCAGCGGACTTCTGCTTGATGAACAACAGCCCTGAGCTGCAGTTTACATTTTCTCCTGCAGGGGGAGCCCGACACGTTTTATCCTTTGTTTTCACCTGATATCTTTAAAAAAAGAGAAAAAAAAGTCTCAGACCACATTCAAGCATTCATGTAAGAATCTCTTCAGCTTGAATATAAAATGTTTTGATATGTCAATTTGTAAACTTGATTATTTGATGCCTATAAGTTGGAATAGTTTGAAATTTTTATTAAGGTCTACTCAATCATAATGTGCAGAAATAGACATTTATTAAGGTCTACTCAATTATAATGTGCAGAAATAGACATTAAACTCCACATTTTCAGTTTTTATTTTTTTTACATATTTACAATCCAGATTTTGCATGCTTAAATTGCACTGTCAATCTAGACGTTTAGTTTATTTAATGCTTAACAAATGGGTTTTTGGATACTATAAAAATATTTTATACAAATACGTCTAAATAAAAAACAAGTAAAAGGAAGGCTGCTTTAACTTTGCATTTTTCCTGTTCAATGGAGTAATTTAAGTACAACTTTATTAGTTTTGTTGGTATTAAAATTAAACATCTCAGATTGACTTTTTGTTTATTTTTTTCTCAGATGTAATTATTAATATTTTAATATTAGGAATTATAGAAAAACCCCACAAATGATCCTTCTTTAACACACAAGATGGCACTGTTCATCTATTTTTTTTTTACCGAATGATGCTGCCTGTACCAAACACAAGTGTGATGACGATAAGAAAACTCGACCCAGAGTCATATCAAAGCATTTCATTTATTTTCATTTATTGTATTTTTCATGGTTATCATTTCTACTTTTCTTCTACGCTGTTTGAATTCCCCAATCCTGAGTATTTATTATTGCATTGAGAGGGAAACGTATCTGTTGCAGTTGACATAAGGTGCTTGGCATGACATCAGTGGCATGTCACAGTAAGCTCGTAAACACAAACAAACCCACAGAGGAACATCAGTTTAGAGAATTGTGCTGTTGGCAGGAAGTTTTTAGTTCTGTTTTTGTGTAAACTCTCTGTGTTGATGCTGGCGCGTGTCCACAGATTCGTTACAAAGTAAATCGGTGATGAAAGCTTTGAGATAAAATGGACAATTCTGAAGTAGTTCACTTGAAACATGTTTGATGCTTTTCATCATGGACCAATCTATTTATCTGTGCAACCACGTTCACATAGCAAGTCTGATATTTAACAGTTCTTTGGTTCAGCTTTATTTATTTTTTTATCAAGTGAAATGTGGGAGCAATTTTGGCAAAAGCTTTCGTGGCTTTTTTCCAAACCCAGCAGCTGAGAAAGAGCACTTATCCTTCTCAGACATGAATGAGCGCTTCAGTTTCAGACTGGGTGTCCTTGCTTCATATGACGTTAAACCATAGATGGTGGGAAAAAGGGGTGTTTGTCATCGGCGAGGATGATATATACTACAGTTCGGACTGAAAAAGTACATTCCTTACATAAGCTGAATGCTGTAAATCTTGCTCTGCAGCTAGAAAGTCAGCAACTCCAAATCTAATCACACATGTTGCCAAATAAAACAGAATCAAACAGAACTCAGTCGAATGTTTAAATTTGATTTAAAGGTCTAAAACATATACAAAAAAAAATCATGAAAGAAAACTTAACAATGACATCATCAGCTCGGCATGTGTCTCATAAAACTATTTTAGTTTAACATCAAAATGTTTCATGTCTAAGAAAGCAGCGCTGGGGGAATTTGTTCCTAAAATCAAATCATTGTAGTGATAAAATCAAATAGAGAGGAAAAGGAGAATAAAAATTCCTGGAACGTCACAATTCTTGTTTAAAAAAAAAAAAAGGAAAATAGATGATGTTTGAACAGCATTAGTTCTTACATGATCATAGAGGGTCACCCCACTCGATGAATCCGCCCATAATAGGAAATGAGGGTTTCCTGTTGTTTTTTAGAGTCTTCCTATGAAAAAGGTTGAGATTTGTAATCTCTACCCAGCTCTGTGGATGAACAGAGCTTTGTTTGGAAAAATGACCCTCAACAGATTCTCTTTTGTGTTTTCTGGGAGTTTAGCAGCTTTTCTAATGTGGGGTGAGTGGTTCATTTTCATTCTTCTTTTATTTATTCTTTGGAAGAAATGCCTTTGTTGCTGAGTTTTGGTTCACCTCCTGTTGCTTCAGTTCGTTTTATAAAAGGAATTGAGGTGTGTTTAAATACAAGCAACACAGGATGTAGTTTATTCATATGGTTTGAGCTAAACAGCTAATTTAAACAAACCCGATGCATTAGATTTGTTCTAAAATAAGAATTTAGTTTTTCTTTGTGTGAATATTCGTAATACACCTATTGTTGTTTTAAGCAAATCGTGTCTTGTCACTGCGTYTATTAGATATTTCACTTTGCGTGAGGAAGGTTATTGTTAAATTTAATCTTGGCTTCCTTAAAGAAGTGGGAGACAAAGAGAGGATGCACTGACCTGCTGACTCAATTTATTTCCTCTGCCTCTTCTACTCTCGCAGCGTCAGAAAATTGCAGGAACAAAATTGTGGAAAAGCAGCAGTTTACTGAAGTGTTGCTCTCTTTCAATGGAAAATGTAGTTATTTTAATTTTCTCATTCCAGGATGCTCAGCTGTGATTTGTTTGGTTAATGACAAGGTGACAGTTCAGCCGGCCACAACAACTGCAGGTATTCTAAAGACTGTATGAACAAAAATGTGTATTTATATATGTAACAGACGTCATGCATGACCAGCAACACATTAGTAACAGAACATCCCTTCTATACAGGTTACCACTCAGCAGATAACGTGACTACAAGTAAGTTTAAGCTTGCACGTATTCGTTGTCTGTGTTTAATGAACSCATTGAAACTTTTGCAGTCAGTCTTTTTGAGGATGTCCACCCCAACTAATCCAACGTAGCACACAAATATCGAAAAACTGCCAAATTTTGCAAATATTGAGCCAAAACTTGATGTGTAGCTGAGAGTCACATTGAGTGATATTGCACAATATCACGCATTGTATGTGTGGGACTCCAAGTTTTTTCAGTATAAGATGATGTTGGCCTTTCATTTATTAGTTTATTTAACAGGGACAAAGCACACAAACATAGAATTGTGACTAAATGATGTGTTGCACAAAGAGTACAAACAGTTGATTTGCAACTCCAGTCCCTGATTGAGCATTTCGGAACATTAAAATACACACAATTTATACATGGAAATACACTACTTAGGTATTTCTGCCTACATATTCAAATTCATATAATAAAATCTATACATTAAAATACATACAATTGCTAATTTCTTGAAGGAATGTTAGGTTATTGTTTATAACGCAGTCCAAAAAAATACAGCCAAACAAATGTACATTTTTAATACAAACTTAAATAATTGATAAGAAATGCATGAAGATTATTTTGATTTAAGATGCTGTATGGTTTCAGATAATGCGTTCACCAGGGGGGTCTTGGATCACTGCTTTAAACTGATTTGTTTAGCCTGTCCTGGAACGAACGAACGAAGAAAACAGAGCTCAGAGATTCTGTTTTCTGCCAGGACATCTCCTTGGGTGTACTGTCATATGAATCCAAGATAAACTCCTGGGGGGGTGGGGGGTCTCGACCAGAGAGGGGTCAGATATGAGGCCTGTAAAGGTTTGGGGTTAAAGGTTAAATGAAACCTCATTACGAACAGCCCCCCCACCTGGCTCCACTTCCTGACTTTGTTCGTCATTCGCCCCACGCAACGTCAGCGATTAATGCACGAACTCCGAGTTGTGAAACAACTGGAGCTCAGAAGCAGCGCCCCTTTCACTGTTCCTCATCCTGTGCCTTCGCTTTTTTTTCTTTCCCTGACTGTCCCCCAACCCCTTTCCTCTGCCAACACCCCCCAACTCCGAGCTCCTCCTCTGCTGAAAAGACACATTTCCTGATGTCATTACTAAATCAAAACGCTGCTCAGCAAACAGATGTTGTATGTATGAGGTTCAACACTCAGTTTCTGTAGCATAAATTTTGAGAAAACTCAAACCAGAGATTTTAGTTTGTTTTGAATCGCTGAAACAGCCTCTCTTGAGCTGCGTTTTTCAAAGCTCTGAGAACCTACCCAACAGACTGACCACAATTATAACATAAAAACAAAGATTCTTCATAGTTTACCCAAAAATATTATGATTTATACAAACGTATTAACATACAAAGAAGCTGCTCACTTAGAACTTGTTTCAAGTTTTATCAAATTAACCCAAATATGAAATTGTGGCTGTGTAGCACACCCTGCCGAGTCATGATTACATCCACCCCAAAACGCAAAGCCCTAAATGTTTACTTATGTTTCCTATTTGGCAGAGGCAGCCCAAAAGGCAAATAAATCACATGCTGTGAGCTGGCCAGGCCTTCGACTGTGAGAAACTGAGACTAAAAAGCAGAACAAGAGTTAAAGAGTAAAGGGTTTTCAGATGTGAGTCCAGCCCCAGCATGGGTGTGCTCCTTTTATTTGAGAGAATAGAGAGGACTATCTTTGTTGACTCCACCTCTTTAAAAAAGGAAGGAAAAAGGCGAGAAAACGTGAGTTGGAGAGGGGAAGAGCTGCTGCCAAGGCGCAGGGCCGTCAGACTGATCTTTGAAGAACATCTGGTAACCGCTGGTGACATCGCTTGGACATCTGTTAACCGAAGATAACCCTGCCGGGTTTCCTGTTATGCCTCACTGTACACAGTCTGAGAGCTTCATCACTTGGGCGAAACGCACTTTTAGTCATTTTTCTCTGACATGAAGGGAGCTGTTGGTTTTATTGGGGTATTCCTCTCCTTCCTCTCTGGTGAGTGTGTGGTCTCCCTTCTACAGCTGCGAATGCCTGCTGTACAGTCGTGCTAGAGATGTAAAACAGATTCACTCAGCTAAACAAAAAAAAAAAAAAAAAAAGCTCACAGTGTGCAGATTTCAGCTGAGACTTCGGGAGTTTTAAGTGGATTTTTACACATTTTGAACCTGAAATTTTCTATTTTTTCTCTCTTTTAGACGTCCTTGGAGATATTACCCGGACAGCTGGTAGGTGACATATTTCACGGTCCATTCATAAATCATTAGAGTCACTGAATGAGTGGTCGTTGCTGCGGTTTTGTAACCCTGAGGCTGAAGGTTTGAGCCCAGGTTGTGTCAGAATCAGCATCTTTAAGAGTTTACTTGCTGTGGTGACCCCGGCAGAAGGGAGCAGCCTAAACAAAAACATTCAAACATCATTCTGTAACAAGCCTTTTTAAGATGTATTAATAAAAAAATCAAATAAAAATTGAAGTTATTATAGCTAAAATGCTTAAATTTGTCACCACATTTTTTTCTAATCAGTTTTTAATTTTAATTCTTGCAGCATGCTTGGATGATTCTCCTCGTTGTACATTGGTCTGCAAGATTTGTGACAGTTACTTTGAAGACCAAATGACTTGTCTCTCCTTCCTGTTTGAACACAACTGTCTGCCTCAATTTAACAAAGGAATGGAATCACTGAACAACACAGACTGGTGTGTCTGGGATAAAGTGAACAGGTAATTATTAAACCGTGTTTTCAGTTTGTCCTGATGCATCTCAGTAATCCAGGTTAAAAAAAAATCAAAAAGAAAAAATAAGTAGGTCCTCTGGATGGGTTCTTCTTTAGTGAGACGTTTCGTCTCTCCTCCAAGAGAATTCTTCAGTCTGATGAGTTTCAGGTGAACTCAGCCTTATAAGCACTGCCTCCACATGGTGGACAAACAGGTTAGTCACATGTGAAAGAGGGCCATCGCCTAACAATAGGCTTGATTAGCTCTATTGTTCATAGAGGGTCATGTGCCCCATCACCTGACTTATTGGTTTGGATACTTCGGCTGTGGTTATTTGGTGTTTTGTTTTGTGTTTGTAGTGAGTGCAAGCGGGGTTCAATGTCCCCTTGTTTTTGTCCCTCTCTCCCTCTTTGTGTTAGTATCGTTGGGACCCTGATTCACACCTTTTGCTCACAGGGGGCTGAGTCATACTTGCAATAACAGCATTGCACCTACATTTTACCTAATTTCCCTCTGGGATCAATAAAGTATTTTTGAATTGAATTGAATTGTAGGAGGAGGACAACTGGACACGAAGGCCTATACCTCTGTTTAATGACAGACAGATTTTCTTCACAAAGATGGCTTCTCCTCTCTCAAACCGTCGTTCCTCTCTATCAAGGATGAGAACGTCTTCATCCCTGAAAGAGTGACCGCTGGCCTGTAGAAGAGTGTAAACTGCAGAGTCCTGACACYATGAAGTAGTTCGTCTGTGCTGGCTCATTCTTTTGAACAGTGGCTGTTTTAGCCTAAACATCCAAACCAATAAGTCAGGTGATGGCCCTCTATGAACAATAGAGCTAATCAAGCCTATTGTTAGGTGATGGCCCTCTTTTGCATGTGACTAAATAGAGCTAATCAAGCCTATTGTTAGGTGATGGTCCTCTTTTGCATGTGACTAACCTATTTGTCCACCATGTGGAAGTAGTGCTTATAAGGCTGAGTTCACCTGAAATTCATCAGACTGAAGAAGTCTCTTGGAGGAGAGACGAAACCCATCCAGAGGACCTACTTATTTTTTCTTTTTGATGTTTTCAGTTTGTTTAAGAAATGTTTCGTAATTTCACGTTCACTTATGTTCTCCTTCTCTGCAGTTTGTACAGCAGCCTGAGCCAGTGCACAGAGGATATTTCTGACTGTCTCCTGATCCCCTGGCCCAACTCACTGGTAGAGGACATCTTTGTGAGCATCCACTCGAGGTTTTTTCAGGAATGCTCCATGGAAGAGTTCAGCGACCCGTCGCCGCAGATCGTCTTCGCCCTGGTGATCACTCCCATCTGCCTGATACCGGTGATGGTGAGCCTGGTGGTGCTGAAAACCAAAAACGGGGATGGTACCCCTTGAATAAAACCACTGGCTCGAGGGCGGCCATTCTAGGACTGCCGCCGTCGTCTGTCAGACAACCTTCCAAGGAGTCTGAGTGTTTCTGGCAAGCTTACATCTTGCCTCACAACTCGAAAGGATTTTGACATTTAGACCAGTCACAATTGAGCCATAAGAAACAGTACCAGTTTAGAATTATGCTATTTACAGATCGACCCATTGTCTTTTTACCGTGCAATAGAACATTTTATTTACTGTATCTAGAAAAGACTTTGACAAAGATTTTGTTTTAATCGCCTTATGACTGAATCAGTTTGCACCTGGTATTTTTTTTTAAAACAGAGCCTTATTTGTACTGAAAAAAATGTATTCAGGGTTATTTGGGCTGATGGAGGCTCTGCAGCTTGCAAACGTTTAGTGAAAGTGACTTTTAGACAATACTCCTTATACGTTCTTGCGGTGTTTTTAAAGTTACTCATTGCAAAGTATAAAATCAAACCTAAAAGGGTTATTCTGAAATATAAGGCTGCAGTTTGTTTCTGTAAACCAACACAATAGTTGGCATCTGGTTCAAAATCTTACTAATTTTACATTTAAAAAACACTGATCATCAATAATAGGACATTATTGTGCACATTTGTTTCGTGACTTTGCAATGAGTAATTTGAACTTTTTAAATAAACCTACTTCTTCCTGATCTGATCCATCTCAGTTTTGATGTTTAAATTTAAACATGGAAATGAGTCGAGCCAAAAAAATGTGCTGATGGAGTTGCGTGAGTGTGTGTGGGTGGTTGTGGGTCAAAGGTTACGGCACAAGGGGCACAATGAATGGGTGTGACAGGAGAGGTACATCCTGGTATTGTTCTGTTTTTACATTTTAACGGTGACTTTCAATTCTTTCTCTGTCTAAATAAAAGCTGCTGATTGATGGTGAATTGATGGCGAGGTGTTCTCCATCCTGACAAAAGACATTTATTTGTCTTGGTAAAGTGGTGATTAATGACAAGAAGATGTGCTCCTTTGCTTGTAACACGATAGCTCGGTTATGTGATGTGAAGTTTTGCATGACGATAAAGCCACAGCAAAGCGCTTGGAAGAGATATGTATATTTATATAATTTGTTGTATAGCTCTGTTATTTTCAAGAACTAATGGACTTTACTGTGTGAAGGGATAAATCCTGTCTGTTCTCACACCATGCTTTGCGCACATGTTGATCTATTTTTGAAACTATTAAACCTACATTGTAGACTTTATTGTTGGCTGATGCTCGTTTGTTCTCATCTGTTYRAGTATAAAAGTCMTACTTAAAGTTCTGCTCAAGTTTTTGAGGATATATTAACAGGGTTGCTGCATCATTCTGCCGTAAGTACCCTTTCACCTTTGTCAGTATTTGATTAAACACTCTTGTCCCCAGAGTGTAGAACAGATGGCCGAGTCTTTTTTTTCCTTCCTCAGGTAGTGTTTCAGAGTATCCTCAGCGAGCAGTATATTGTGCAGCAGTTTCTATGCTGTGTGAGTCCTGATGTAGTGAAGGGAGCAGTGACAGCAGTCATGTATCACACCCTCATCTGGCAAACGCTCACACACACAGCCCTGCAGGACTGTGTGTGTGTGTGTGTGAGCTGGACTGGGTGGGAAAGTGTGTTTGGTGACCTTTCTTCCTCTCTAGATATGGGGTCATCCTCACCTCCGCCCGTTTCTGATCTCATCCAAGTTTGTGTCTGTCCTTATGGCAAATCAGACGTCATTTCTGATGCAGTTATGCAAAATGTGAAACACAAACGGTAATAACTTTTGTTCTTTCTTGTTAGCATGTTAAATAAAAACAAAGRAACTCAAATAATGTGTGTGGCGGCTTTACAATTGTCAATACCACCCACAATACATGGAAGTCGTAAATTTTACAGCCTGAAAAGGTTTCCCCCTAGTGGCTTTAAACGTTATTGTGAGAAACGTGGTGGACTTACCGTGATGTCCAAAAACAGTGTCAAAGACTCAAAAGAAGTTTTTTGTAATGCTAAAGCTACTTATTTTATATTTATAAAGATAAATACAAAGGAAGAAGATTATACCAAACATGTTTCTATTACAACACATTTTTTATGTGGAATCTGATGCCTTTKATTTGGCCTTACAGATAAACTGTCTCATGGAGAGGGCAGGTGAGAAGATTTGTTAAAAGCAATGAAAAAAATGGAAGTAGTGGTGTACAATCCTGGTTCTTGAGGTCCACTATTGCTTTAAAGGAGACATATTACTCAAAATCTACTGTTTTAGCTGTTAAATACATTTTGTTGTGTACTTGGTGTCTKTAGGAAGCAGACAATTTGAAATTAGTCTCTCCCGATGCTGAGTAGATCTTTATATTCTGTTTGGATCCAATTTACAAATTTCTTCAGTGTTTTCTACTGAGGTCTATAAAGTACTTAAAGGGGCAATATCATGTAAAATCAACTTTTTTYAGTCATAAATCATGTTATAATGTTATACTCTCATAAAAACCATGCCCAAAGCCTTGCTTTGACCCATTCATGCATGTTTGAGAAATCCTGCAGCGTTTTTAGGCAGCCATGCTGAGGAGCAAAACGACAGGTGGGACCAGAAACGCCATTTGGGACCAGAAACGCCCCTGGGACGTGTCTTTAAGCCGAACTTCCTCATCACGGAGCACACCTCCCCACCCCCGACCCCACACACCCCGCCCATGACTCCTGCAGGCTCTTGGGGAGAAGAGGTTATCTGCGGAATCAAAGTGGGCGTGACACAAGAGTGGGCGTGTCTAAAGCATAAACACTGTGGGCTACGAGGCCTACATGACGGTATCCTTAAACCCTGCTTGATCTCTTTACAGCCTGACCCTGACCCCAACACTAAGGTTAACCAGGAGAAATGTGACCCAAGTAGGGGTCTCCAGAAAAAGTGGTGCCGTACAGTAACGCCCCTTTTGTTCTTGTCCAATCAGGTGGTGCCGTACGGTGACGCCCCGTTTTTTCTTGTCCAGTCAGGTGTGTCACTTTAGAATTGCCTTTCGTTGGGACACGCCCACTCGTCCGCAGAGACCCCTACTTGCTCTCGGCAGTAACAGAGCAAAGTGAAAGTGAAACTTAAACTGTCTGCTAACTACTTCTCACTCAGTGAAGCTCTTTTCAGATTCAAAATACCTTTGAGGAAATGTATTTTCAGATGCCAAGTAAACTGCTTCATAGCGCACATACGGACCCCCCCACCCCGCCACTGAAACTTACGGAACTTACGGAAGCGGAAAGTGGTTCTTAAAGAGACAGAGGCCAATTTCAAGGCATTTAGAAGAGGAAGTGATGAGAAGATAAGTTTATTTTCTATTTAAACATAAAACAGCATTTTAATAACAACTAAAGGTGACATAGATATTTTATTATGGTATAGAATTTAAATTTATGCCTGAGAAACACATAACATTGGCCTTTTAAAAGAAAAAAATTCTGTCTCTGGGTCAGACATAAAACAGCATTTTAATAACAACTAAAGGTGACATAGATACTTTATTATGGTATAGAATTTAAATTTATGCCTGAGAAACACATAACATTGGCCTTTTAAAAGAAAAAAATTCTGTCTCTGGGTCAGACTCTGGCTCCAACATGTYAGGTTGGATGGACAAGTCTTCTGTTGATGACATRGCAAACCCCTCGAAGCTGGAGGGGGGCGGGGTGTAAAGCACCTAGTTTGGATTTAGAGAGACAGCCTCAAAACGAGTTGACCTGAGACACACCTCAGAAAAGGYGTGAAAGAGGGGCTTGTGGGGTTACAACAACAGATKATTCTCACTCCCAACTCGTCACATGTTGATGCTTGTCCAAGGTTCCCTCTGTGTCCAATTTTGACGCGTCGGGTAATCCCCTTGCATCAGTTGATGAGATGAGAACAAGGAAGAGCCCATTGTCATATTTTTTGAAAAGTGTAGAGAATTCATGACAAATGACAGTCCCAAACCCCAAAGTTCCCTTCTATTAGCCCTAGAAATCCTATCCATGACCTCACAACCTAAAATAACCACTAACCCTGGTCACAAARATTAACCATTTTTGAAAAGTGTAGAAAATGCACGACAAGTAACTCTCCCAAACCCTAAACTTAACTTCTATTATTCCTAGACATCCTATCCTTGACCTCACTWCCTAAAGTTAACCAGTAATCCTMATCCCTAATATTAACCACAGATCCCAAGCCAAAGACCCGATGTGGCCCAAACCTGTAAACACGAYGGGGRTTCCCYATGCYTCAAAARGGGACGCAGAGGGAGTGAGGATGTGTTGACAATAAGGAGGAATTCAGACCAAAGCATTGRAWTTCCACTTTARATAYATCCCAACTGAATGATTTAAATGTGGAAAAGAAATATTTGAAAGCAGGACACGTCTCCTTTAACACAGATGATTTGATTGAGATCAACTGGCTTCTGAAGAAGAAATTCCAGCACTGAATGAGGTGTTTTTAAAACATGCAGGTGCAGCAATTAAGGACCAGGATTGGACACCACCGATTTGAAATATGAAGTCAGCCTAAAGTACAGAAAATTGTTGTTTTTTAATTGACAAATGCATATATTGTACACCCAGACGTATCATGCATGGATAATTCAGTTATCTGCAGTAATGACCAGAAAGTCTCAGCTCCATTAAATTGAGGTGACTGGATTTTGGTGCAGGTCTCAGGAGCCTCTGGGAATAAAAGGTTGTTATTGTATGACTTAGAGATCAGGTGAAGGCAAACAAGGACATCTTATATCAACTGCTGCTTGCTTTGTCAGACTCGTTGGGACTTTGGCATCGAGGCTGACAATGTCATCTTCCCAGCCCAGAGTGAAATCAGGAGAACCTCAACAGCAAGATGAAGTGAAAAAGTGCAGTGAAGCAGCTTATTTCTGAGTGACTGCTGTCTTATCCACCTTTATTGCCTCACTTAACATGCTTTATCAACATCTGCTTTGTGGGCACTTGTACACATTGGAGATTTGCCATAAGTGCATTCAGTGATGCGAGTTATTAAAGGTGACACGAGTAATTAGTTTTTTGTTTGAGAGCCAGGCATCTGGCTCGGCTACGTAGGAGCTGACCCTTCAGCTGGCTGACGCCACGTTGGCAGCAGATGACTGTAGATCCGAACAGGTTTCACATCAAAACTACTGCTGGATCAGTCAGAAGAAACTCAAAGAAATGTAGATCAGCAGCAACTTTGTTAGACTGCCAGCTGAGAACTTMAGTGGCTTTAAGTAGAAATATTCCTCAGTTCTGAAATGATGGAGGAAACAAATAAAAGTCCTGATTTACCCTAAAGGTTGAAATAACCGCTATTAGCATCGGCTAACACCGACTAATAATGGAGTGCGGTCACACTCTGTTTTAGACAACTTATTCCAACMTGTGAAAAGTCTAAGCTGAAAATAGAGTTTAAAAAAGCTACTGGAAGCCTCTTTTGGTCCTATACGTACTGTAATGCTAAGAACTAGATTGAGGTGATATGAGTAAAATAATCACAACAAAATTTTTATTTGTCTGCATAAGTTGTCTAAATTATTATAGTAAGAGAGAGCCTTTACATAAAGAGCCAAACTCCTTTTCTTATGCAAATTAAAGTCATTAATAAAGTCAACCGAGTTAAACATTTATGTATGTATGTATGTATGTATGTATGTATGTATGTATGTATGTATGTATGCATGTATGTATGTATGTATGTATGTATGTATGTATGTATGTATGTATGTATGTACGTATGTATGTATTTTTACTGTAGGCCTATTACACATTACACTAAAACAGATGTCAAGTCAGGTCTGATCAGGTCACTTTCAGCTTTAAAATGGCAGTCTGTGAAGACATGARTTATCTTTGACTCAACCCAAGGGTCAGACTGTGATGTTTAAAGAGGATACATCATGCAAAATCCACATTTTTAGCTGTTTTGTTGTGTACTTGGAGTCTTTAGGAGTGCAGAAAAGTTGAATTTAGTCTCTCCTGGTGCTGCAAAGATTTTTTTATGTTCTGGTTTATATCTTTCAGCCCTTTCAGTTTTCTCTGTTTTCTAAGACGTTTTCTGAACAATTGTGCCAAATTATCAGTGACAGAAGTGCCATACAAGGTCTGGACTCACCAACTACAATTTCCTCGTCTTCATTGTCCTCTGGTTCTGTGTCAGACTGTTTTTGGGTCAGACTCTGGCTCCAACATGTAAGGCTGGACGGACAAGTCTTCTGTTTTTGACATCCATTAATTAAACTGTAAATAAAATGTTTCTGCACCACTAGAAAATATAACCCCCTCTCTCAAATGGGAGTGGACCGGTCTGGAAGCAGAACGGGGGGAGGGGCTTGAAGTGCCTTAAAGGAACAGTATCAAAACCATCTTCTTTGAGACACACATCAGAAAAGGGGTGAAAAGAGGGGCTGGTAAAGTTAAGTTTAGACCAAATCACTGTGGTTCCACTTTATACAGATCCCAACTAAATTATTTAAAAGTGGAGAGGAAAAATTTAAAATATGTCTACTTTAAAGGAGTAGTATCATGCAAAATCAACATTATTGAGCTGCTATCATGTTATAATATCATTCCCACATCCAAAAACATACCTAGAGTGTTGCTTGTGAATGTCCTGTGGCCACGTAGTGCTGCCCAAATGCGTGCTGGAACAAAGCACCACCTATTTACACATTGCTCCTCCTTGGAGGTCAGTCTGTAGCTGAGCTCCCGCCCCACAGAGCAACCCCTCTCTGAAGCAGTAGCCGTGTTTCCATCAACATTTTTTTAATGCACATTTTGAAGTATCACATCAGAAAAGGTGGATGGAAACGACATGATTCAAAAAAAACTTCCTCTAATTCGCATAAAAGTTGATACGCTCGCTTGAGGTGGTTTTTGGGTTTTTCGAAAAAGAGTTAATGCGCAAAAGGAGAGATAGAAACACATTTGCTGAATAAGTTCTGATGTACTGAACATTTACCTCACATGGTTGATCAGATGTTCTCGCTGTCTGTCCGAAACCGGTACCAGAGCGACTGCACCCGTGACTGCAGCAGGACCCTCCTCCCGCTGTCAGCGTATTCTCAGTTATTCCCYTGACGTGAAGAGAATTGCGTTTCTTTCTCTACGTCTCCAGACAGCATGTAAAATCGCCAGAACTAATATGACAGAATAATTARAACTTTCCTGATAGTAGCAACACGTTCCTGATAACTTCTCTCCATTGTCRTGAGATGTGTGGCCCCTGCGAGTGCGACTTTTACTTCCTGTTTACTACATGCATGTGTCTGAAGTAACTGATTCGCTTCAAGCCAGTTGATGGAAACACGTCTGATTTGCATTACTTCCTTTTTTCCTTTTTGCGAAATTAAAAAAATTTGCTCAAATTTCGAATTAAAATTGAATGGAAACATGGCTATTATTGTGAAGACGTGCTGAAGTGGGAGGGTTGGAAACGGTAGGAGGTTCTTAAAGAGACAGAGGCCAATTTTAAGTCAAAGTCAAATTTATTTTCGATATGTAGCATTTTCATAACAACTGAACATATACAGTTGATTGTGGTACAATTAAACTATGTGCCTGGAAAATACACAATATCCTCCCTTTAAATATTTCACAGATGTYCACCAGCTGTGTTGAGATGACCAGATTGGGCTTTATAGCTCTGGGATTTTAATATACAGAAAAAAAAAGAGCAGTAAACCAAAAATATCAGCATTATATTCGACATATCATTGTCTGTATTCACTTCATTACAGTCAGGATATCAAATGTGACAAAGTTTAAATTCTTGATGCAGATTTAAAGAAATGGAGGCAAAAGGTTCACAGAAAATGACTGGTTTTAGGAGGTTGAATAAATTTACATCCCAGTCGAGGAACTGATGTGTTGAAAGGCAGATAAGTAACAGACAATGGTTTAAATGTGCAATATATTTTTTATAACAACCTGGAACTGAGAAGAAAGTGATAAAGTGGTGAACACAACAGACTTATCATCACTTTAAACTGTTAAAACAAAGCTGTTAGAAAACAGCATCTAGCAGAAGCTGAGCAAGTTTTACATTTATTTTAAGATGTGTTTCTGGCCGCTTTTTGCATTTATATTGCTGCATTATTTATCACTAAACTTGTGGTGCCTGCTGTTGATTCTGGGTAAACAACAAATGGTGACGTTAAAAGGATTCTGTTTTATAAATGGCCTCAGCAGAGAAGAGGATTTTCTCTTTTCTGTTAAACATTATTAATCACTGTTTTACCACATTTTGTTGTTTTACAGGATGRTTAATCCAGTTATAGAAAAACCATCAGTTTTCAAGGCAGAAAACAGTTTCTCAATAAAARGTCAAAAATCTGAGAACAAAGAACAATGAGAGTTTTTTTTTCCTCAAAGTATCTGGACCGTTACATGATACGTATTTTTGTCTCTGCATGCTGAGGGATTCCAAAATAACAAACTAACCTGGAGAAATGATTCTCATAGTCAGCCAGGAATAACATGACTCCCAACCCTCAGGAAATCACTACAGAAATATTGAAGAATTTGCAAAATGTAACCTGCATAAATCTGGAAAAAAAAAACTAAACAAACAAGCTTATCAGTGGAACTCCATCTCAGATGAAAATATTTGGCTTCTTGCTTTATATTTTCTTATCTTTTCAGAAATAAAAGCAACTGAGTAGAAGAAGTTGAAYTGGAACGAGAAGCTGGCGTCCCAGCCTGACACACGTCAGGACACACGAGGAACTYTCAGGGACTCCCAGACCTGCTGGATGTCAAGACATGTTTGGAGTTTGGAGGCAGAAGAAGAAGAAATAAAGGGATGGTCCATGTGAGGACAGAAAAGTTTATTTGTCTCTCTTTATCTGGCACTGAGGTTTGCTTAATCCAATATTTTATTTATTTATTTTTTCAATAATTTGTTTTTTTTTTTTTTGCCAAAAATGTGTTTGTGAGGCTCAGCTGTGGTTTGTAGCTACGTTTATTAAAAAAGAATGCCTCTAGATGGCAGTCTTTGAGAAGAAATTTCATGGTTTAAGACATAAATTGCACTTTTTAAAAGGGTTTGGTGTATTTATGAAATCAATTTGGGAACTGTGTTTGAATGCTGCGCATTTTAGTCTCAAACATTACATCAGGAACAATCATTAACTTTATGTGCACACCCAGTTTGATTTAAAATACATTTATTTCTCCTGTTATAAAGCAACATTGATGCACACCATGTATGCTTTTAAATAAAAACAAAACTAAAATGATCAGATTTGAACTTAAATATGTTTAGAGGTGCATTTTAATTTTAAGAATACAGAATAATAAACAATAAAAATGAAAATACCTGCAAAATCATATGAAAAGTTTGCAGGATGTTGATCTAACCTGCCTGTTTCTGTTTTATCAGCTGATCTGTGCTGCATTAAAATACGCTGCAGCYTTATTTTCCATGGTACACCTGCAGTTTCCTTCCTCATTTTCCTTTAACAGCCTTAAATAGTTCTGACTGAAGCTTTTCCAAAGAAAAACAACTTTTCATTCCCTCCTTGGTGATAAACAGCAGCTCTTTCACTCCCCAAATACTTTTCTTCAAATTAGGAAAACCTGTTTTCTCATCTTTAATTTTCCTCCTTAAAACATTAAACCTGTTCAGCTCTGGAAGTTTTTTTAGATTCTAAAATCTCACATATTGCGCAATTCATATCTTTGCATGCATTTGCTTCTGACTGCGTTGCTCTCAACAAATTATGAAGACACACAAACTGCACACAAACACACAAGCTCTTGGTATAAAGGATGAAAGTCGATTATGAGCTAATATTGTAATAAAAGAAAAAAACATGGAAGCCAAAATATTTGTCAATATGTCACTCAACAAAGCTTCAGAGATGGAGCCTAAAATGAGCCATTCATGCCTRGGTATTATTTATCTGACAATGAGCAAAACCTTTGATCTGTGTGTGTTTGTGGCAGGGAACCTTTAACGCTGCAAAAGCTTTATGAAAATAATGCAGCATAAGAAAGGCAGGGATGAGATCCAAATGGGGRCACCTGATGTGTTTCTAAGAGATGTAAATTCCACCTTCAGAGTAATAGCTTCAAATTTTCACAAGATGCACTGTGTCCACAGAGGAATGGTTTGTGTTGTCGCTGGAAAATAAATTCTTTAAAACATCAACATTCAGAACTGTTCTTTATTAGAGTGATAAACATGTTTTTAAAGGCTAATGAGCTATGCAGCAGCCARATTACTAAAGCTTTTATTTATACTGACCAAGATCACACTGCAATTTATTTTTTGAGTTTGATGCTTTATAAACCTAAAATGAAAGCTCTGACTGTACACAAAAGGTATTGATGCTTTTTACATTGAAAATAACCAGAAAAAAAACTGAACTTGAGTATTTTCATAACTCTGGTTGGATGGATGGATGGATGGATGGATGGATGGATAGTTGACAGATGGATGGATGGATGGATGGATGGATGGAATTCTAATAAACTAAAATGAAGCAATAAAACTGAACATCATGAATTAAGACCCACTGTCTGCAGTAACATATTGTATTTTTGAAAAATTGACAATTTTGTTTCTGTTTCTAATCTCAGTCCCGACTTCAGAATGATCATTTTAAATACCTRATGAACACACAAAACATACTTCAGATAGATGGCGTGCTCAACATTCAGCATTTTGTGTTAAAATATTTCAGTCCTTTTTTTAAGCCCTCTTTTAAAAGTCAACAAACACACAAATAGCTTCAGCCAAAAYGTTTATGTGATTCCTCAAAAGGCAGTGTCAAAGTAAATTCAGACTAGCCTCTGTGTTTTTCATTAAGCCGTGTGCCCTCATCCTTCAGTGAGTCATCCTTTGATTCCCATTTCTGAAGATCCCCGTAAAGCACAGAGYTGCTTTGGCTATAGAAAGGACCTTTTTGCCAGGATTTAAAAACAAACTCTGATCTTTAGTAGATTCATTGAAGGTTAAAGCTACTTGTGTAAACATTTTCAAATAAGACCATTTGATATAGCGCAGGATAAAGTTTTTACGTTTTATTTCATAGTTTGCAATGGGTAGCTTTAATGCAGATATAGATGATGAAAATAAACATTTAAAAGAACAGCAATATCGGTGAAGATCAATGTTTAGCATGCCTGCTGGCCCATGGGTGTGAAAAGCTTGTCCCACACTTCCACCTTGACGATGGCTCGTCCCATGGGACACATGGTGGCTTTGATATCGAGGTAGTTCCCCACGTAATTGATTCCCGACCCGTTGGCTTCTGCTCTCACAAACCCGTGCTCCTTCTCCTTCTTCTCGTAGTACATTTCTTTGTACAGATCTTTATCACAGTTACGTCCCTTCTTATAGATGCCGACTGCGAACCAGTTCTTGTACAGGTTGTAGTCCCAGGGCACGGAGAACATGATGGCCAGAGTCTCGATGTAGTCATTCTGGGATCTCTCGAAGAGGTCGTAGGTCATCACGCCGACGGTGCCGGTCGCTTTCCCGCCTGACTTGGTGAAGGTGCAAACCTCCGTCTTTAGGGGGCGCACTGTGGGTTGAGGTGGGTTGTGTGTTTCTCCGTTCTCCAGGTACGCTCTGAGCAACACACAAACACATGCGGCATTTTGTCTGAAATTATTGTTGATTTAAGCCGACGTTTCTTTGCTTACCTGGGATTGATCAGGCAGTAGTTATTGGTGATGTTTGCGATTTCAATCGTCACACTTCTCTTGCTGCTCACATCAGCTGCCACAGCTTCCGCAGACTCTGCCATACTGCTTGTAAGGCAAAGATAAACCAGATGTCAACCAGACAACAAAAAATATGGGACTTTCCAGTTTTTTTTTCTCCCCCTAAACATAGCAAGAGCTGTGAGAATCGCACTGAATWCAGTGTAGAATAGATGAGCTCTGCTCTTTTGGCAGCTCTCTGACCTTCAAACATACACACCGACTAGTGCAAAGTATGAATGAGACATTTCACAGGCTAATGAGATTTTAAAGCAGTTGTGAGCAATCAGCGAATAGCTGCGGTCTCATAAGAAAGTGCACCACTTCAATTACAGCAGTAAGTGCCATGCAGTAATGATAAAAGTGAAAACATAAAAGAAAATCATCTCCTCTTTTCTCAACAAGAACAAGAAACAAATCAAACTAATGCCCCCGCCATTTGACTTTCATTTCACAAATTGCTTTTTTAAAATAAGTAATATTTGCACTTCCTTTAAGAAGAGTTGTTTTTTTTTTCCCTACATTTTAGGTTCTCTGTGACCTACCTGCTACTGTAAGTGCTCCGAGTCAAAAAATAGGAGGTTGGAGAGAGTACCTGATTAGGAGGGGCTGTGTTTTTCCTTTCTTTTTTTTTCCCTCCATAGATGTCAGTTTTCACCCTCCCACTTGCAACACAACATAATTTAGAGCAGACACACCCTGGCTTTAAAAAAAGAGCAGACACACCCTCTTTCTACATAGCGAACCATAACACCCACACACCAACAGATTAATAAAACAAATAATYGTTGGCTTTTCCCTTATTTGATCAAATAGCAACATTTTTGTATGGAAAATTTTTTGCCACACCTGTGTTGGCAAGATAATTTACGAAACACTGCAGGAAATACCCAGTGGATACACATCTATACCTGATTAACACTTGAATTCAACCCCATTCAAGATAGCACAAAAATAATAATTCAGCCAATTTTACAGCTATTAAGTGAGAATATACTGTATATTTTTGTGTCATTCACTACATGTTCCAAGAAGAAACAGATCATGCACGAGAGTAGAATAACACATGTGCACYTAATGCTTTTTAAAGATTTGAACAGGTGCAAGATTTATTTAGTCTAAACATTTATCATGAAAAACATTCAAGGAATGCACAACCTTTAATCGTGATTTCTGTTTGATGGAYCTGGTTTGGGATTCTCTTTCCTCCTCATATTGTGATTTCTGTTTTTTCTACATCTAAAGCTCGCTTTCCAAATTCCACACAAACATGCAAAATGGAGACTCTCCCAGCCCGTGAAAAACAACACTGTTATTGTGCGGATTAAAAAAACYTCTATGCAGACGTTCCATCTGGTGCCGCTCATTAGAATTGGATGGATACAGATAAGAGATTAAATAATAATTAATGATCATCAGTAATAATGCAGGCAAACAGAGTGAAAACACAATCCACACAAAGAAACACAGGCGTTGGGTCTGAATGCTTTATTACCACAATCAAAGTGAAGAGAGTGTGCAACGTGTACACGAGCCRGAGACGTGAGCTAATGGGAAATCAATGAGCTGGCTGTCAGATATTGATATCTTTCAGCAGACGCAAAATACAGATGACAGCAGAATCAGTCTTCCTCTCCTGAGCCTCTTCTTTAAGATGACAACAGTGGTCACATCAAATGAATTTTATTCACTTTGTGGAGACAAAGACAACAAAAAAGTACCCAAACCAGAACAATAGACTGTAAGCTAACGACCCATTTTATCAAAGAGCTCCACTTTAACAATTCCTTTGCCGGTCGATGACATCGTAGCTCTTAAATCAACGTACGTTGCTTTATATTCCAGCCCACACCCATTCGCCTCGGAGCGGGTGAAGCTGGTGAGCTCGTTCCCGTCATACAGCTGGTCGTACAGATGTTTGTCGCAGGCCCGGGAGTGCTCCACCACACCCACAGCCAGCCGGTTCTTGTACCGGTTGTAGTCAAAGGGCACCGAGAACATGATGGCCAAGCGCTCGGAGCAAACCCGGCTCTGCATGTGGAAGAGGTCGTAGGTCAGCAGGCCYACAGCACCAGTGGCCGTGTTGTCATCCTTCGTGAAGGAGCAGACTTCTGTCTTCTGGGTTCGAATGGTGGGCTGAGGCGGGTGGTAACTGAAGCCACTCGACATGTAGACCCTGTAAAAAYGACCAAAACATAAACATTTAGTAAAATCCATCCAGTGGTTCATGAGATATGTTGCAAACATTCAGGGAATTGATGAAATTATGTGGTCATGCATTTTTCACACATCYAGATTAGGTTAGGGATTACTTTCGGCTACTAGCGCACTAAATTTTGAGAAGGGTGTCTCCTAAGTTTTCCGACAATATATACATTTTTTTTGTGCAAAGTCTTGTTTTTTGTGCAAATTTTTTTGTGCAAATTTCCCATTAAATTTTCCGATATGTACATTTTTTTGTGTGCAAATTTTCATTTTTTGTGCAATTTTTCGTTTTTTAGTGCAAATTTTCATTTTTT